TAGAGATGGTGGACAAGGTGACAGCCACATTGGATCTTCATAGATGTGTTCTTCTTTGATTTGTGGTGGCATAACAACTTGGATCTCAAAAGGTGTAGACTCTTGAGCTTCATCTTGTGATTCCTCATCATCGATGAACACTTCTTGAGTCTCTTCCTCAATTGAATCATCATCATCAAACAAATCCAAGTTCCACCTACTTGTACTCGGCTCCTCATGATGGCTTTCATACATGTTGGTGACTTGTGAGTCCCTTATTTCCACCGTCCTTGTCATGACTTCAATTGGATGATTTGAAGACTCCTTCATTCTTGATAACTCCGATTGAAGTCAGGCAAGTTCGTCTTGTAGGTTACGAAGGGTCTCCATCTTCTCTAACTTCTCTCTACTAAGCCTTGTCTCCTCTACAAATTGGGCAAGAATCTCCTCAAGGTTTAGAGAAGACTCCGCTTGCTGGGGTTGAGTGTCATACCATGGCTCCAAAATGTTAGAATTCTCTTCGCAACCTTGGTTGTTTGGAGAATGATTCCAACACCAATTGTCATAATCTGCCATGTCTTCCAAAAACTAATACACTTTATCCGTTGATAATTGGTAGAAAGAGGTGGTACCATTTTCTCTTTCCACCCAAGTTCGTGTTGCGGCGTTTAACCCATCTAGGAAGTTTTGTAGTTGACACTCTTTTGAGAGACCATGCTCGGGGAGGCCAATGAGCAATTCCTTATATCTATCCCAAGCACTAAAGAATGGCTCCGAGTCTTGTTGAGCAAATCTTAAGAGGATTAGTCGATGTGACATCTCTAAGTACCTCACAAAAATAAAGCATCATAATATTAGCAACAATCTAAAACGCCAATCCCCAAGCAAACAAAACTTTAAAAGAGTTTAAAAACAGAAAAATAAAATTAAAATAAAAACGTCTAAATTAAAGTAGGCTACTTCGTCACAATATTAGCCAAGTTTTAACTACAACCAATCCCCGGCAACGGCGCCAAAAACTTGATCGATGCAAAAATAACACCTATTTTCTACTCGCAAGTGCACAAGGTCGTCAAGTAATAAAGTAGTGAGTGAGTGAGTGTCCCACGAGGATTGTGTTCCTAAAATCTAGCTAAGTATTGTAACTAGAATAACCTAATTTTATCCAGACAAGTCCAACATAAGAATGAGATCAATCAAAATAAAATAAAATGCTAAACTAATTAAATAAGCAAATAAAACAATGGAAGGAATTTTTGGGATCGAAGGGGGTTCTAATGATAAGGTAGCTAGGGTCCTTGATTTCACCTTGCCTACTTATGCTAATCCTTTTTAATGCTATTGATTTCACTCAAGCCAAACATTAATCATAACTTTCCTAAAATAATCCAACTCCCTCTCTCGAGTGCCGAGTCAAATATATGCAAAATCACCTAATTAATATCTCTATTAATTAAGTTAATTGTGCATTCATTAAGCCCTAATTCATTTGTGATTACCTAGCTCATATTCATCTCCCGATTCCAATACTAACTAGGCTGTGCTCAACAAATCCCAACATGTGTAAGTGACTCTGCTAAGCCTAAATCCACATATCTAAATCTTCTAATCAATTTTTTAATTGATTAAAGCATTAAGCAAGGAAGAGCACAAATGTTTGGGCATAAAAAACATCAAATAACATCAAATATTCATAGCATAATCGTAGCAAGGCTACATCAAGTCCCCTAGCATAAAAATCTAGCAACCCATCAATGTAAACTCAAATATATTCAACATTAAACAAATCTGAAAATACATGATAAATCCACAAAAATAAAGAAAATGCTAGGTTTAAGAACAAGAGAAGGGAAGAGGAAGAAAAATAAAACTCAGTGTAGTGCAGCTTCCAATCTCCAAGAACTTCCTCCTCTGATTCTCCAAAAACTAGCGTTTTTCTCCTCCCTGTCTGCTGCCCAAAAACTCTCCGGTTTTTCCTTTTTCAAAGCCCTAAATCCCCTCGTGTAATCTCAGTCCCCTCCAAAACACAATGTCGTATGGCTCAACCAATTCTCCTCTGTGAGTTTTGGGCTCTTCTGGGCTGGACTTGGGCTTCGAGGAATGTTGGGCGTGCGGGGGCGCGCGCCTGGGTGTGGGGCGCACGCGGGCGCGCGCCTGGATGTGGGGCGCGTGCACCTGGGTGTGGGGCGCGCGCCCCATTCTGACTTGGCTTCACTGATTTGGGCACGCAGGCTCTTTTTGATGTTTTCCTTTGATTTTTATCTCCTTTTCTTCCAAGTGATCCAATTTTCCTGAATCACTAACAAACATATTAAAACAACCTAAAAACTTGAAGATATTGTAAATTATCCAATTTCAGGACATTAAATAAGTTAAAACTCACTTATCACAGGGGAAAGAGAGAAGAAAAGAAAAAGAAATATAAAAGAACATAATGTCAAGGCATCTCTAAGGCAGTGTCAAATTAAGATATCAATTTCAAAATTTTAGCGTCTTTAATAAAATGTTTTTCTTAGTATTAAATTTGATCTATGCTATAATTGGTGATAAACTGAATTAAAAATAAGTACTTGCGTCGTTTTGTTCTTTTAAAGTGATTGTTTTTCAAATGTGATAACACTTGTACCCCATTTATTTCACTGATTTGAGTTTTGTTACAGTAAAAAGCTCTTAAAAATAGTCACATCTAACTTTTTTACTATTGTAAAAAGCTCTCACATAAAGTCACATCTCAACTCGAATTAACGAACTAAACGAACCTTATTTTGGGTTTGGGTAATTTTTTAAAATGTCCTTGAAAGATGGGCTTACCATGGGCCTACAATCGATGGGCTGGGGTTAGATGGGCTGATGTTAGAGTCCTAACAAGCCGTGTGCAAACATCAAAATCAAAAGCTCTTTTTTCTTTCCTTGTTTCATTCTCTTTTAACTATAGAAAATTCACCACGCTTTGCAGGAAAAATAGCATAAGACCAGACCAAGACTTCGTTCCAAAGAAAGAAGAGAACAAGAGAGAGAGAATGAAGAGTGTTTTCTCCAAGACTTTGAGCTTCCTTCTTTGCATTACTCTCTTTCTGGTGCGTGCAACAAAGAAAACGACTCTTAAGTGCTGCGTTGCAGGCCAAACGTATGACGTCTACGAATGCTCGCCGTCCGTGACCGGATAGACCAGCGCTCGCCTCACCCTCAACAGCTTTGAGTCTGGTGGAGACGGCGGCAATGAATCAGCCTGTGACGGTCGATTCCACACTGCCGACAAGCCAGTCATGGCATTATCAACCGAGTGGTTTGACAATGTTGGTACCGGTTATGTCTTTTTTATCAAAGTTTGTTGTTAAGTTTGTTGTAATAAATTTAAAAAACACATGAAATAGAAAAAGTCGCATGCAATTTGGTATCGCAGTTTGGTAACTACATATTCCGTGAGGCCACGTTTAGATGATGAACAATCTACTAAGTAAATAATGTTACAACTCAGATGGATTTAATCACCCCAAAATTCTCTCTAAGAATGATGCTTCTGAACTAGCCACTACCCAATAAACTTGTTCAGCGAGCTTCTCTCGACTTTAAAATTGCACGGCAAACTCTCTTCAGCTGGCAATGCGCTCTCTCCGGAAAGCTTCAAATTTTCTTCCGAAGAACGTTGGTTGAACTCCCTTCAACATTGCAAATCGTCTTCTCCGGAAGACTACAAACTTTTCTCCTGAAAAACAAGAAAAATAAATGCTCACAAAATGATATGATTTACTAGAATTCTGGGATTCAAAAAACATACAAAAAATATGCTAGAAATTTTAGTTAAATGGCCAATCACAACAATTGTCAAAATGCCTTCAATGCAAGCCATTGTACTCAACTTGTTGTAAAAACTTATTGCAACAATTTCTAGAACATTGATGTCAAAACTGATCTGAAAATCAATCACACAACAGATTCTTGAAGTCTTTCCATAAGCGGCACATGAACCTAAACATGTTCTTCTGAATCCCCTCAATCAACAATTTTCCAAACTTGAAACAAATGTTCTTTCACAAAGGACATTGTACTGCTTCCAAACAAAGCAGTTTCTTTCCAAAAGAGTTCTCATAGTCCAATCAATAGATTATCACGCCCAAAATAATGTCAATCACACAATCAATCAACAAATCCGGAAATCAAAACAAAATAGATAATCAAATCACTATAATTAACTCATCAAAAGAAGAAACCATATTTCAACACAATTTAAAATCTCTTCAATGAGGAAATCTGCAGCAAATTAATCACAATATTCCCAAACAATTTAAATCTGCAAACATTCTAAAATAATGCCAATTGAAAAATCCCAAACGGACACAAGAGGAAGTGCAACAAGAACATCGTCATATATGTAATGGCAACAGTGGTGGACGAGTGTGATTCGACCAAGGGTTGAGACGAGGAGCAAGCTTATCAGCCTCCATGCCGTGTCAACACCGTTGACGCCTCCAGGGCAGCTTGGGAAGCTCTTCAAGTGTCTAGTGATGGTTACAAGTGGGGTGATTTAGATATTACTTGGTATGACGCCTAATTGAGTTTTATAGCCTTTCATATGTACACTTTTTACGAGCTTGACAAGAAAAGCAAGTAGCTATAGCTCACCAAATAAACAGTGGTATGTAAGCTTTGAGATTACGGTCTAATATCTGGTGTAATATCATGTTGTATCAACTCTTGTTTCTATAATACCTAATATATGTTATGTTCATATGCCTGTTATAACATCTCTTGTTTCGGTAACAGCATGAGATTTCACTCATTTAAGATTTTAAACAAAATTCTCTATTATTAAAGCAAGAGTTTCAATCGGAGCCTTGCCAAAAACAGAAAGACCGGTTGCGCATATTCTGGTTATGATTCGGTTTTTAACTAATGACTTCTTGTAATGATACCATGTTAGTTATTGATCCTTCCAAAAGCTTCGACTATTTAGACGTGGGCATATAATATTTATATTCTAATAACGTCTAATTCTAATGCAAGCAAAGGTGAAATATAGATGCTACACCTTTCAAATTAAAATTCCATTAAACTAGAAAAATATGAGTACATCCCCATTGTCCATCATGGGCAAAATGAAGTTAGATTTAAAAAAAATAAAATCAAAAAGCCAAGAATCAGCTCGCTTCTGTCATATTTGTCATCAGTAATCCCCAGGAAAAATAGGTTCGGCTACTCATCAAACTGAAGATTATATACACAATGCTCATTGTGAATTGAAAAAACTGTTACCCACGCATCAAATCGATATCGACATGGGCGTTGCGCATGTCCAGTGCCCGAGACGCTGGCCAGACACCCACCGAAGAAGTTGGTGTTAGATTTTGATTTTGTGGAATGCTATTCATTGCAAGTGGGTTGTCAGCTTCTTGATGATCCGAATCTGTTGGAGCTTCTATCGGTTCCTGTCTTTTGCGGTTCTTTGTCTTTGAACCACCCCATAAGAAGCTTCCCACTATTACCTGAAGAGTGATATACAAATCCCCCTCTGAGGCTCAACAATTACAAGACGAAGAATAAATAAAGGAACGACCTTGTCTACTATTCAAGCGTGTCATATGATCTAGACAAATTCAGGCCCCGTTCATTTCGTTTATTCGAGTTTAGAATTCGAGTTTTGCTACAGTAAAAAACTCTCACAAACAGTCACATCTAACTTTTTTGCTACAGTAAAAAACTCTCACATAAAGCCACATCTCAACTCGAATCAGCGAACTAAACGGGCCCTCAATGTTATTTACTTATTGCCTTGCACGAAAATAATTTGAACAATAAGCTACCTCACCAAATGAAACTTATAGAAGAGTGGAAATTGTGGATGCAAAATAAAACTTTTAAGTTGAATCTAAAACAATGAAGTTACCTGCACAGGGCTTGCTGCAATGAGCATTCCTCCGACTCCTCCACCTATGACACGGCCATCGGGACTAGCAAGAGAGACACTAAGACCTCCACTTCGGTTCCGGGAGCCACCACTATCAGTAACCAAGTAAGAGCCTGACAGACAAATTATCTCAAATCGTCCCTACAGTCAAAGATCCACCAAAATTTATTCTTCTCAGCCCGTACAAGATACATAATACAATTAAAGTAAGAAATATTTTAATAAAATATAAATACATATATATAATTAAAAAAATAAAAGGAGCTCAAGAGACCAAAAATTAATGTCAATAATGGCATTATTACAGATGTTTATAATTGAATAAGAAAAGAACACGCAAGGAACATATGATAAGAGCTTGGATTTATTACTGCTGAGAGAATTTCCGAGGGAAACAATATAAAGTTGCTAATAGCTAAAAGTAATGGAGAGGTAAATTCCCTTTACGAATATGCACAATAACTAAGACGAACGTCAATCAAAATAGTTTCCTTGTGGACATTGTCTGACCAGCCTTGGGAGTATTAAATATTTGTTTTGAGTTCGGAACATAAATAATTAAACATGCACAATAACAGAACCTTTCCAAAGGATTGGCAATTTTTCAATCTATGGAGCATTCCAAAAGCTGAATAAAAAATGAAATATCATAATGTGATCGTAACCTCATATGTTACTGTGCCACCAGAAGTTGAAGGTTGACGAAGAGTCACTGTAGAGACAGCGCCATTGGCCGACAAGATGCACACAGCCCTTGGCCCCTGCTGCGAGAATGACATTATTTTTGTTGCAATGTCCTACATCGAGAGATAAGCAAATTTCAGTACAGCCTAAATTCCATAAATGTCTGTCAACAAAACCAACCTCCATAAGGAGTATCACGAACTTCTCGTAGGCACGTGAAGATTACACTGATAGACAAGTTTGTTTTAGCTCTTTTCAATTATGATACTCTAAAAGGAATTACACTTCAGGAGAATGAGACACAACCAAATGACAACACAAAACTGTTATCAGCTTACACCATGCATTCACGAGAAAAAGGAAGAAAATTTATTAGCCTTTCTTTAGTAGTTCCTGATTTAAGGGCAATTCTAAGGACTATTGCTTTTTGTTTTCATGAAGCAACAAGGAGAAAGGTAACTAATAACCATACAAGGTTGAAATCTTTTCTGGAAACTTTTTCTGAAATAACTTTTGTGAATTGCTTGTGCATCGTAATCACTCCTGTACTTCAGCTTTGTTTCTAATGATAATACTATCACCTATGTAGCTAACCGGTAAAATTTATTGTAAATATACAAATTTGATTTATAAATAAATAAACACTGCACTAATATACCACGCTTGGCTACAACAACAACTAAATCATATCAAAGAGAGAAAATAGCATACTTCTCCTATTGCAATGGTGATAATATGTGGAGTAAAACCCATCCCAGCAGAACCAGACAGCCATTCACCTAGCAAAATAATCAGCCATAAAATATCATTCACATACCAACAAGTTAAGAAATATAGAACAAACCATACGAGATGTGATCATCGTTCTTTGTTGAAACTTATGCGCTAAATTAGTTTCACTATTAACTGTTAAAACAACTTAATACAGCTTCACAAAGCTTAAAACAACCATAAGAAATTTCGAAAAGAACATGTCCTCAAGTTACCTTGGAACTTTCAGACAAAATAAGAGCGGGATAGCAAATAATACAAATGTATGAATAAATATGTGAAAGCACGGCTAGACTTTCCTCCGGCCTTTTTCTGCTACTCTTTAGCTTTATCAGATGATGCCCCAACTTCCTAAACTAAGTTGTAACGACTAATTAAGAGATATTTTTCCAATAATGTTAAAGAGCTAATTAAATAAACTTTAGACTTAAAAAAAATATCTCCATTCCACTCCATAGTTTCTTTCTGCTAAAACAACTGGAGATATCTATCTACTGCTATACTCCACTTAATGATCACCCTGTGCAAGTCATTGCAGAGTACTAGAACCCGGTAGTTTCACTAAAAAAAAAAATTTGTTGTTACTCAGATATTTTATTAACAAAAGATAAAAAAAACAAACAAATATACATATGTATATCAACCTTTGCAATTTTTCTCTACGAATCACCCCGCCTAATCTAGATTGAGAGATGAAATTACAGAAATATCATTCTTACAAGATTCATGGCAAGCCAGGTAACCTAAGTTTCTTTATTTCTAAGAATAAATCTGATCAGAAAACACAGACCAAAACAGACCAACAAAGGAGTTAATTAAGATAGCAAGCATCAAGGCTATTGCAACATTAGTATGTTTAAATTGTATTTTATTGATAAAACAACCAAATTTTGGCGGATTTGAACTCATTGTAAAATTTTACCCTGCCCAAAAAAATAAATAAAAATAAAAATCACGTAGTATTTAATTAACGAGTACAATACTAAAAGCTTATGATTTGCATAAAAAAAAATTTCTAAATAGAGAATCCACACCATAATAATTCTTGTACCAATCCACCATACATATTGGTTGAACCCAGTTAAAAGGAACTCATTAATCATTGCGTCAACCTGAAAACAAAAATCAAATTTTCCATTAGAAACTTACCAAGAGAAGCTAATTGTTGCTTCTTCCCAGTCCCTGGCGGCCGCCCTCTACTACGCTTAGGGGTCGTTGTTACAACTCCAGGATTGGTAGCAGGCGCAGGCGACAATGCCAATGAGACAGACCCGTCAGGCCCGTATTTTCGAGGCCTTCCCCTTTTCCTTTTCACAGGCTCACCTGATGATGGCACCACCATTGGTGTACCACCCACATTGACACCATGGGACGAGATTCCTGATGAAGGCTCTACCGGTAATGTCGATCCCATAGTACTGCCTCCCATATTTGACTGGAACGAAACATTGGGATTGGACAAGGGATGAATGCCAGCCGATCCATGTAACTCAGGCTGTGCTCCTGAGCCAGAGACAACTATTCCTCTCTGTGTATAGTAAGAGGCGGAACCAGATAACGCCATAGGATCCCTTCGATCCATGCATTTACTTCTAAAACCTTAGCAAGTCTTTCAAGGGAAAACTTAGACTAGAATCACTCCGGGTTTTTTCCCAAATCAGAGGATAAAATTGCGACCGCTCTCTCTGCGTCCTAATGTTTGATTTAGTACAAAACTCTACAAACAAGCGCAAAACGAAAAAATGTGAATTGACTTGGTGCACACTAGACACGGTTTCTTTAGGATACAGAATTTATAAAAAAAAAAGAGCTTTTAGTTACTTCTAGAATGAAAAAGGAACGCCTCATGAAGTGATACAAAAAGCATCCCAAAAACATGCTTAGCTTTACTACATCACATTTCTCCTTCCAAAGACTAACTATGCTTCAATTAAAGCCTTAAAACTCGACCAAAAACACTTTTCACTTCCCATAATAAGTTCTTTAAGAACTAATCTACCATCAGATTCTAAAGAACTAAGTAGCAAACGAAAAATAAATATAAAATTACTAAAAACAAAAAATTATATACTAAATGGAACAGCACTTAAAAAGCAGAAATCAAATACATATTTTATTAAAGGACCAAAAAGAAAAGAGCAGGAGCAAACAAAGTGTTCAACGTTCAAAAGGAAATAGGTTTAAGGAAAGAAAAGACAAAAACAGAAACTAAAAATCTTACAGCTTACCAAACGAATGAGAGAAACAACAAAAAGGCTTGGTGTTGAAGATAACGAAGGGAAAAGACTGAAAAAAACAGGTCCACTGTCACCAACCCATTATAAATTCTTTAACACCAAGCATCTTCTAAGCCAACCCCGTCGTACCCATTACAAACTAAGCTCAATCCTTGAAAAACCACCAAAGAAAAAAACCAAAACAAAAAAAATGAAAAAGAAATAAAAAAAAAAGGGCCTATGTCAATGCCATTAATGAACTCAAACCCAGGCCTCGTGTAACACCACCACCAAAGAATTTGAAAAAAAACATCCCAATAATGGGTGGAAACCACGGCACAACACAGAGAGGAGAGGAGAGAGAGAGGGAAAAGGAAATGACAGACACGAGTGACGTTGGTCGAGCAGCAGAGAGTTAAAGGTCGAACAGGTTGGCACTGTCTAGAGTCGTTTTTGGTGCTAAACGTCGAACGCTTTTGCTGGGCCTCTCTAAAACCAAGAAAGGAAAGGAAAAATTGTTTGTGTTTGCGGTCAGAGAAGGGGAGAGAGAGAGAATGAGCAACAAGGGTCTTTAAAGGAAGAACAGGTTCTGGGAAATTAAAGACACTTCTCTGAAAATGCAGAGAAGAGGAGCCGAGTATTTGCGAAAGAGAGCTGAGTATTTACTACCAGTACAAGCACAAGTCCTTATCTGAATGCAATTTTCTAGAAAATAAAATAAATAGAAATAAAGGAAAGCTGTTTTTATCTCTCTCTCTCTCAAAAAAGCTGCTTTGCTTTTCTCTCTCTACAAGATTAATAAGAGGTGCGTGTGTTTGTGAATTGTGACCCAAGTGGCTGAGGTTGACGATGTTTTTTTTTTTTTTTTTTTTTTTTTTTTTTTTTGTTATGCGGCAGCTATTATGCTTTTATTGAGCCTTCTGAAGGTTAAGACAAAAACATAAACAGAAAAATTGCACTTTCTCTAAAACTTTGGATAAATACTGATTTTTCTAATTCTTTTCTTTTATTATTATGCTTTTTTTTCTTATTTTCTTTCTTTTTAAGGAAATTTTTTTCATTTTTTTTTTTTAAAACACTGATATTTTTTATTTTTTAACCGTTAAATTTATATATTTTTTAATTATATTTAATACAGATTTAAACGAACGATAAAAGTTTAAAAAAACACCAATATTAAAAAACAAATACCTGAGAGAGATTTTTTTTGTGAATTTGTTTTTTGAACTGTATTAAATATCTGATGCTTACTGACTCTATCCGGCTCTGCCTTTGCCATGGAGCTCGTATGTACGCGCACTCAAGAGGCGCGTGCGGTAAAAGTGCCTTTGTGTTTGCCTTTGTTAAAGGATAGTTTTTTTTTTTTTTTTTTTTTGTTGTTGGACTAGGATCTAGCTCCTACTAATTGTATATTCTTGAAAAGAATTGAAATAATACAACTTGAATAATCATCCACCTAGAGACAATAATTACAGCACAAATTGACCCGTTTAATTCGCTGATTCGAATTTTTAATTTGAGTTGAGATGTGATTTTATATGAGAGCTTTTTACTGTAGTAAAAAAGTTAGATGTGATTGTTTGTGAGAGCTTTTTACTGTAGCAAAATTCGAATTCTAAACTCGAATCAACGAAATGAACAGGGCCTAATTTTTCATCACTAAATCTTCTTCATTATGAGGAATAAAGAAAAAATGATCAACTTATGTGGACATAGCATCCTGGACTAACTCTCAAATTCACGAGTTATTGCACCCACCCCGCATGACACATTATCAGTACTTCTACATTGAGTTTTACATATCCTATTGAAGGTACATATAGAAGTTCTAGGGTTCGTTTGGTTAGATGATTCAAATCATGTGATTCGAACTATTTTTTATTTACGTGTATTTTTTGTGAGAGAAAATACTGTAGTGAACCACGAATCATGATTCAAATCAGGGAACGAATCCCTCTACCAAACACCTCATTAGATTTTTCTAGTTTAAATTGGATTGAGAATAGGAAAGATTCTTTAATTTGCTTGATGCGGATTTCAAATATTATTCTAATTTCAAACCAAAAGGTAAAAACACATTTTACCTATGATTTTTAAAATTAAAATTTTTTATGAAAAAAAAATATTATAAAAAACTAAAAATTATAATTTTAAATTAGAAACAAACTCTTAAAACAAACATCTCATTAAATATTTTACCCACCCTTAATTGTTTCTTACTGTACATCTTCGTCATACCAAACAAACTCTAAGCAATATCCGTTCATTTCGCTGATTCGAGTTTAGAATTCGAGTTTTGTTACAGTAAAAAGCTCTCAAAAATATTCACATCTAACTTTTTTATTACAGTAAAAAATTCTCACATAAAATCACATCTGAACTCGAATTACAAACTCGAATCTGAAGGGTATACTTTCCACGGGCACGGAGCACGGCTGCACGGCAATCCAAAGCGCGTGGGAGTGTCATTCAAGAGGTGACCAGACGGTGACTTTGTTCGCATGTGATGCTGATCATTCAAACTTTCTACGCTCTTATTGATGACCCTATGAACCTCAACACCCAAAAACAAAAAGGAAAAACGCAGTGTGAAATTTACTAGAGTAATTATTTAATAAAATAAAATTAATAAAATAACTTTTTTATTTTTTATAAAGAATGATTATTCAATCGTTTTGTTTTAAAAATCCCGTTTTTAATCGTTTTGTAGTTATTTTGAAAAAAAAAAAATTAAAATTAAAAAAATTAGAAGTTATTTTGTTAATAAAATTCTTTTAGCGAGTCCTGCCTCGAAAATAGTAAAGCAAAAAAATATCTAACCCAAGAGCATTGATAGCGTTACCTACCCCACCTGAAGGACTAGCCATATCATCTGACGACGACAATTTAGGATTAGACCTTATCCAATTGTGGATTTTTGGCACCACAAAGTTTGGCTCTTAACAAGTTATTTTCAACTAGCAGTGACCAGAAACTTTTGAAGATTTTAAAAATTATTAGATCTTCTTTGTTATATGGTTATATAATGCAGGTGGCTTTCATAAATACTTCTATTTTTTTTTCTAAAAAGTAGATATTTTAGTGTCATCCCGATAGTCAAATAGTCTTTGATAATTTAAGACTGTTGAGTACAACTTATACTATAGTTAAATTAAAAAGTTTTTTAATAATTTTAAGTACTGATAAAATAATTTTTTTAAATTTAAAACAACTAACAGAAACTTTTGAAGATTTTAAAAATATTTAAAGTGAATAACATTTTATTGTATAAATATTTTATTTACGACTAGTAAAAATTAATTTACGTAATAAAAATAATTTTTTATTTATATGAATTTTTTTTACCAATCATAAAAATAAAATTTACATTAAAACTATTATTTACATTAAATAATTTTAAAATATTTTATTTACTTAATTTAATTTTATGAATCTCATATTTAGTTTTTTTTTAGTTTTATAAATATGTTTTTTATTACATTCCCCTTTGAATGAAAACATGGTTACCTCACGCTTTAATTTTGTGATTCTTTATGTTTGAACGTAATTACTTACTAATCGCTTCAATTACAAAGAATTTAATACCTTCTTAACGAATGCCACACGCCACCGTAATATTATAGGATTCAGGATTCTTACCCAAAATCGATAACATCATTTAAATTAGTGACAAAAGTACCATGTGTATCTTGCATATTTTGGCTTTTTCCCTTGAATGTTTTGTGCTTTTATAATTTTGTTAAGTTCATTTTCCCTTGAATGTTTCGTGCTTTTATAATTTTTCCCTAAATTTAGAGTTTTTATACATAACACCATTTTTTCTCATACTAAGGTCTTGTTCACTTCACTTATGCGAATTTAGAATTCAATTTTTACCATGTAAATTATTATAGTAAAATTTACATAAATAAAAAGTTTATAGTAAAAATTGATTTTTACTATAGTAAAATATTCGAGTTTAGAATTCAAAAGTACCATGTAAATTTTTACCACGTAAATCTGATCATAAATAAAAAGTTTATAAGAAAAAATCTTTTACTATAAACTATCGACAATTAAACACTTAAGAGAAACCCTCTTAAATGAAATACAAAACTGTACTTTTAGTGCTTGCAAATTATAATAATAACAATAAAATATTTTTTTATGTTTTTTCTTTTTTTTAAATATCAGAATTTTCTATTTATTAATTCAGTATTATTTTTAAAAATTAATTAAATTTTTAATCAAATTTAATATAAATCTAAATTTAGTGATTGATAAATACTTTTCACAAAGTTCTGAAAAAAAAAAAAAGAATAAAGAAATAGAAACCTGTGAGATCTCTTGGCGTGAAGGGTGAGTTTCATTTCATTGGAAAATCGGTGGGACTTTCCACAGCTAAAGAATTAGTTTTTTTTTTTTTACACCCACTTATTAAAATAATGACATTAAGAATGTTGGAAAGGAAGATTGATCATTGATGGTATAAAGTATTGTTGTGTGATTGATTAATTATCTCTTAAGCTTTTATAATGTTGGATTGTTTGCATGGTATAATGGAATATTTCTTTCTCTTTGATTGGGTCCTACTTGGGATCATCAAATCCAAAAATGGAAGTACTGGAGGTTTGTTGAAAGACAAAATTATCCTGTATTTTATCACAATTTTTTATTTATTGTGGTGCTTGTTTCAGCGGCCAAGTAGCCAACACAAGTTTGTCCACAAATTGAGATTTTTGCCAAAGCATTGTGGGGTAACTCACGTCCTTTTCAATATCAAAGGTCAATTTCAAGTTTTTGAAGTTGCTAGTTATTAAGTATGGAATCTTCACGGTAGAATAAGTTATTTTTTTTATTATTAAGAATAATTATTTTTAACTGTTAAATTAATATTTTAACAGTCGAATTTACACAAATTTATTTAAAAATTTACAGTGTCACACAAAATTATTTTTACTATAAAAGTATTAGAAAATTAATTTAACGATAAAAATATAATTCTCACCAATAGAATAAAATAACTTATCTCATTTGAAAAAACTCTCTATTAATTAACACTTCTTTCCCTTACTCTTTATGGGTACTAGTTGGAAGCACGCCCTTAGTTCACTGTAAGAAAAAAATTATGCAGTAAATTATTTATAGGGTACTCATGAAAAAAGTACTTGAGAGGTTTGCAAGAAAAAAAAAAAAAAAAAAAAAAAAAAAAAAAGAAAGATAGGAATCGCTTTTGAGAATAAATAATATAAGCGAGGCAATTAAAGAAACATATTTATTAGAGTTATATTTGAAAATATATATTTATAAGAAAGAATGTTTAGGTAGACATTTGAGAATATTTATTTTACGATTATTCTCATTAATATCCCTAAAATATGTACCTTCTTAAAGTGGGTCTTAATTTTTTAAGACCGTTCAAACCACCTTTTTAATATACAGAAAACTATTCAAAATGCTTCCTTCATCTATTTCCATTTACTAACGTGACATGCTATTATGAGGCACATTGAATAACTTTAGAGGACACAATGATAATTAGTTAATAAATCATGAGATTTATAAAATGAATCCTTAAAATGGAAAAAAAATATATGTTATTAAATTATTATGATTATTACATATTTCTCAACTATAATGAATAAAAATTCAATTATAAATCTCGTTACATTAAAATTAAGATGTTTTTTACGAGAAATTTTGTATTGAAAACAACTTTAATTTAAAGAAATATTTGTAAAAAACATATTTCTTCTAAAACATT